TGCCTTGCTTCCTGTCACCTCCCCAGGAGGACCTACTTTGAGCTCCCCATCCAAGTTAGCCATCTTTCCCATATCATTGTTACTGTCTTTGCTGAATCACTTAAACGAAATAGATAATAAAACCCGGGGCTGTGCATTTTCTAATTCTGACTCTGCCACTAGAAGACAGCATCCGCAAAGGTAGAGATTTGTTCACTGCTGCGTTCTCTCGCTGCCAGGGAGGAACAGATGGGAAAAAGATGACTTAATGGGAGGCAATGGGAGATAAGAGCAAAGACCTGTTAAATTTGAGAACCCTCAGACTGTTTTCTAGAGAAGAGGATGTGAACACATCACTTACTCAACAATAGTAACAGGACCCAAGGAGGCTAACTGGGACCACCCATTCCCAGTTTTTAGGAAAGAACAATCAAACCTAAGCAACTTGCTAGAAAGCCCCGTGTCAGGGTCATCAAGAAACTAGCCTTTCAAACTACTATCCGCCAAAGTTCACTCATACCTGGCTCTTGCCCAGAACATGTCTAGATCAAAGACGTATAAGAAGGTAACTTCACAAAGGCTTTCTTTATGCTAGATCGCAGGTTATAAACACCTAAAGCAACTGGGAGTTGAGAGGATCTGAGAAGCTTGAAGTGGGTTTATACCTAATGCCACACTTAGATGGATATGATTACTCATGAGTCTGGAGAATCCAGAGAAAGCCCTCAACACACTCCTGAGGTCTGAAGTGCAGGATGTTATTGTATGAAACAAATAAAAGCATTTTGTGAGTCACCTTTAGAATATCTGTAGGACTTTTGAAGTACCTGGTTCTCAAAGCGTGCTCCCCAGGGTAGCAGCATTGCCTGGGAACTTGTTAGCAATGTAAATTCTTGGGTTCTTCCCCTGGGCGTGGATCCCAACAATCTGTGTTTTCACAGGCTCCCCAGGTGAGTCTGATGCATGGTAAAGTTCAAGAGCCACTTCACTTTTAGGGGCTACCCACGTGAGGTCGTTCTAGGGATGCAGAGACACCAATTATTTACTGTTAGAGTTAATTTTTCAGATTTGATGTCTCTTATCTATCTGGGAGAACCTAGAAGAACTAGCTTCATCTACTTCCAATTTTAGACAAAATCAAACTGGTAGAGTTATGCTTTTTAAAGTGTTTTGAAGGGTCGGGTTAACCCCATATTGTTATTATTAGCCAATGCAAGTCCCCTCTCTTGATTTAATTGATCAGTCCCTCCTCCATCATAGGCAATTAGCTAATGTATTTAATGGCTATCTTTTTAAAAAAAATTGATTAATTAATTTATTTTATTTTTTCCCATCCCCATTGATTCCCCCTCAGCTCACTCTCTTCCACTTCACCCCTCCCCCACAGTCAGTCACAACGCCGTTATCCATGTGCATGAACAGTGACTGGTTTTGTTTTTTTTTTTCAGTGCAACGTGTGCTATTGTTTTGTGGGAGCAAATCTTTAAATACTTTAAATGGCATTATTTGAGATGCCTCATTCTGTCTCACAAACTTTTCCCTTGCTGTTCCCTCTGTCTAGATATACATAAGGCTACTTGCTTACTTTCTTCAAAACTGTCTTCTCTTTGAATCTGTCTTCCTACCTCATCTAAAAATTCACATGCATCAACATTGTATACACTCCCTTTCTTTCTTATTTTTCCTTCTTAGCACTAAACACATACTACATACTTTACTTTTTGTTTCTTTCTTATTGATAAGGATGTAAGGTAAAGAAAGGAAGAGATTTTTGTTTTTTTTAAAAGAAAAATTAATGTACTCCTTAGGCATAAAACAATATTTTTGCTCATAGTGATCTCTCAATATATACTTGTTAATTGATTGAATGGTATAACTGAAGTGCCAAATCACAGATGTTCCTAATTCATATATAATTTTCTACAGAAAAATACTCCCTTCCTGGACTGAAGTCATTAGGTGCTATGGGATAGTGTTACAGTGCACCTGGCTTGAGCCTCTTCAAATGTACAAGACCTAGAAAATATGTATTTTTGTATCTATCTGTCTACATTCATCCACACACATATTTTTTTTTTTTTTTTTCTGGTGAGGAAGGAGGTTGATTTTGGAATTGTGGTTTGTATGAGTTTTGCAGCTTTTTTTGGTGGGGGTTTGGATTGCTTCTTGAATGGCTCTTGTTTACTAAAACATTGGTAAAATCTCTAAAAATAACACAGAAGATCATTATCCGTAAAGGTGGTAAGTATGTTGAGATGGTGGGTTAATGATATCACCGGTGGGAAAACCATAATATTTGGAGGGAGAGTTTCCCAGCTGGTCTGGTATCGGGGACTCTGGCGCTGAGAACAGAGGGGAGGGCCCTGCAGGGGTCTGGCTTTAAATGGGTTGCTCATGTTGCAGAGGCAGGAAAGACCCGGAGCCTGACCCTGTGGTCTCCGTCCCTGTACGTGCTCGGCCCAAGAGGCAATTGCAGCAATGGGTCAGGGAATGTCCCGTGAGGCAAAACAGTGGTCATAAGAAATAATAGGCAGATGCAGGCTGCAGCGGCCGATTTCTTAACACCTGAGCCCTACCTAGTGAGGTGTGCAGAGTCTTGCTCTCGGCCCTTGGGCAGACAAGTCATTGCAGACAGCTGAATGTGGCAACGCTAACCATCGCATTTTCATTTCCTTAATGGGATTCCGACCCTGCAGCAGATGAGATGAATGCCTCTGTGCAAAGAAGATTCCTCCTCCTTATTTCTTTGATTTGGTCGGCCCTGGGTCTATTGCTTGACATTAATACGAGAGAATATGGAAGAGTGGTTGTGGTTTAAAAAGGTGTGATGGCCTTTTAAAAACTGTTGTGTGAATAGTTCCCTTAAGGCCTTCTGAAATAGGCTTTGTCCTGGATGTAAACTGGTAGCTAGTTCTATGTGTTTCCAGTCAGGTTCATGGTTTTGTTCCTGTGTGGCTGCCACCTTGATCTTCCCTTATGATGATCCAATACAGTGATTCCAACATATTTTCATATTTTATGAACAAGTCAGAAGGGTCTTAAGTTTTGGTAGAGTCTCCTTCGTCATTGTCCTTCTCCTAACACTTACACCCATGCTTGTTATAGGACAGAGAACATAAACTCAGTCACATGTAACAATCTAGGGTCAGTTGCTTAGGTTGGGAGGGAGGTTTCTGGGCTTCAGGGCTGAGAAGATGTGCGCTTTCTTTGACTGCGAGTATGGTGACTGATGGTTGTAACAGACCGTAGAGAGAATGAGTGGATTCTCACGGCTTCGCCTCCACACTCAGGCTCTCTGCAGGTTGAAATTTATCTGCCATTGATTCAGTATATACGGAATTACCTTGAGTGAGGCACTTGAGCTTTCTGTGCTTAAGTTGAACTATCCGTTCACACCCTTCTCTCACGGGCACATGGTGAGGCTGGAATAAGATAGAACATTTAAAGCATCGGAACAGTGCCAGTCACATGGAACACCCTCAGAAGTAAGTTGTTTTCATAATTTCCTTCAACTATTTGAAAAGGAAACTTTAGTTTTCTCCAGTATGCCAACTTACTAATATTGGAATTGATATTGATTAATATCAATATTGGATATCAATACTGGTGCACCTCATTCACCTTTAAAGTATTTTATTTAATTCTGCAAAGAAGAACAGCAGTAGAAGTGTTCAAGATGCTCTTTTTTCTTCCCAGAAACCTACGGAGTTTGCGCCCTTGACTCTGCTAAAACCAGCGATAGGGCATCATTCTCCAGGCTTTCACATCATCTTGACTGACTGCAGCGGAAAGCTAAGGAATTTCTCCTTCTTATAATCCTCAGAGCTGCATAATTGTGGAAATCCTCTAACAAATCTTATATCATGCGTGCTTATTTTCCAGTATAATATGCTTCCAGTCCTACTGCTACACTTGAGTGTGTTTGATTTTTTGTTCATGTTAGGGTTTTAACTGCTGTTACGTGACCCTCCTTCTGTCCCCCAGCATAGATTAACTCCTCCGTCGTCATTCGGCAAGACCTAGGTCAGGGGCCGGGTGATTGGATTTGGGTGGGCAATTGTGGTAGAAAAAGAAATGTCCACAACCTAATCCCTGACCCTGTGACTGCATTACCTTACATGACAAAAGGGGCTTCTGCAGGTGTGATTAAGGGTCTTGAGATGGGAAGGTTACCTTGGATTATCTTGGTGGGTCTAATGTAATACAAAATGTAGAAGGGAGGATCCTTAGAGGACGAGAGAAGGATCAGAGGTGATGACGGAAGCACAGATGGGGCCACAAGGGAGGGGGCTACAGCCAAGGAGTGTGGGTGGCCTTTAGAAGGCCAGAAGAAAACAGGTTCTCCCCTAGAGTCTTCCCAAGGATTGCAGACCTGCGGGTGCCTCGATGTTAGACGGAACACTCGTTTCGGTCTTCACCTGCTTCTCTTTCTGCAGTACAAACAGCATCTTTTATTATTACATCTGCGATCCATAAATTTGGTACCGCTCATTTATTTTCTACCTAAGTACCCCTCATTGGCAGAAGAAAGTGAACCAAGGGCTTTTCCTCTTTGGGGTTTATAGTGCCAATCAAGTCACTTTATTGTCTGTGCTGCTGGTTTTTCCAGCCAAATCCACAGAAGTGAAAAAGTGGTCTCCTGATTTCAAATACGTATGATTTAGGCTGTTCAGCCTACTAGGTAACACTCAAAAATTACTTAGTGAAAATAGTTTCCTGCAACTCAACATCCGTTGGCAGTGTAGGGCGCCATGCCAGCCTCCCAGGCGACTTACACAGGCCTCTCATGCGGACACAGAGGCCCAACAGCACTTTCTGCCTGAGATGCCTCTCTGAACTTCAGTGTTTGGGACATCAGGAGAGTCTGAGCTTCTAGGAGGCTGATACAGTAAGAAAACCACATGGATTATCCAAATAAGTAGGAAAATAAAGGCAGCTGAGCATGGGAGGCCATATAAAATCACTTAAGCCAGTTACCCTTTCCTATCTCCTGAGAAGGCCTGTTCGGAGGGTCCACCAAGATGAAGGTTTCTGTGGCTTTAGAGGTCTTGGCTCTCCTTGCTGCTTCGATGTGGCCTTGTGCTGACAACGTGCTTGGTAAATGTCCAGTTTTAGAGAATGCGTCCTCAGAAGGGTTACCCGTAACGATGGCTTTCCACGCAGGCGCTCTCCTCTAAGCGAAATATAATCTTACAATTTGCTAAGAGAAATATCTGGGCCAACTAGACTTGAGTCAATATGTTGAGGACACATTTTCTCTTTTTACCTAAATGGCTGAAATTCTTCTTTTTCCTTCATTGTGGTCTTCTCTCTATCTTGATCTTCATTGGTAGGTTCGTCAGAAATAGTCCTTAGCTATACATGTCTGTCTGAGTTTTCAAACCCACAGCCGTTGTAATATAATTGATTGCAGCGTACTGTAAGATACTCGGTTGTATCTTAATTGAACTTTCTGCTTCTAGACTCTTCATATTTCCCTTGGTGATAATACTACTCTATTATTCTTTCAAAATACTGTCTGAACTTCACTCATGTTAGATTCATCAATGGTTCTACAAAGCCAGGAAGATAAAGCTAAATCAATATTTGGTCTGCCCATAAGCTGATCCCAATATTTTTCTGTCTTCCCTGGAATATTCTCCATTTCTTTTTTTGTGTGTTTTCCATATGTTTTCCCGCATCAAGGCCCAACTTGATGTCAACTGCTCCAAGGCAGTATTTCAATATTACTTTTTGTGTTCTTTATGTTTTTAGAAGATCACTATATTTTGTATGTTTCTGAGCCTTTTTTGGGGGGCGGGGGGAGTAAAGGCTACATCACATTTTCCAATTGCCCAGTGCATGGGAGACACAGAAAACATCCTCTATGTTCTTATGGCAAGCTACAATTCCATGAGGTCCTGTGAATAGGACCAATGATTTTTTTAAAAATTTACTTTGCAAAACAATTTATTTTAAAATTTCAATTGACATATAGTATTAGTTTTAGGTTTATAACACAGTGATTAGACATTTATATAGTTTGTGAGGTGATTACCCAATAAATCTAGTACCCATCTGACACCATACATAGTTTTTACAGTGTTATTGACTATATTCCCTATGCTGTACTTTACACTCCATGCCTGTTTTTTTTAATACTAGCAATTTGTAATTCTCAATCCCTTCACCTTTTTCACCCATCCCCCACCCATCCTCCCACCTGGTGACCCCCAGTTTGTTCTCTGTATCTATGAGTTTGTTTCTATTTTGTTTATTCTGTTGTTGTTTTTTTTTTTTTTAGATTACACATATAAGTGAAATCATATGGTATTTGTCTTTCTCTGTCTGACTTATTTCACTTAGCAAAATATCCTCTAGGTCCATTTATGTCGTTGCAAATGGTAAAGTTCCATTGTCTTCTATGGCTGAGCAATATTCTATTGTGTATATGCACCACATCTCATGATTTTCTCCTTTATTCATTTGACCTGTAAATCCTTTGTTAGCAAGGACTTCATATAGTTCCTAATCTTTCCGTTGTACCCAAGATGAATCTTTCAGAATCCTTGAATACCAGCACTCACATGTAGTAGTTAATTATTAGCGACATTTCAAAAATTTCAACTAGGCACATGTGGAGAAAGGACAGTGGCTTGTGAGTCAGGAGAGAACCCTGGGACGGGGTGAGTGGGGCGTTCAGGCCTGGCTGTGGTACATGATGCTTGGGTGCCAGGAAGATTCCGCTCCAGTTAGTGATGCAGCAGCTATGTGTGTTTCTCAGGCTTTTTTTCAACTCATATCTTGGCTATTTGAGACAACCTCAGAATGTCAAATGGAGACTTGACTCTGACATGTGAAAGGAAGTGGTGAACCCAGAAGCATGGACTTCCTGTGTGTCCATGCCCATTTATCCTTTTGAGCCTATCTTTAAACCCAACTGCTGAAGCCTTTTTTTTTCCCCTGTAGGAGGAATCATCTCAATAACCTTATCTAGGTGATGTTAGAATAAGTTTTCACACACATGGAGAAAGGTGCTTTGGAGGATAGGGTCACTGATGCAGAACACCTGCCTTCTCCAATCCCATTTTTTTCCCCATAACATCTCCCTGAATTTTCTTGCTTTCTTGATGATGATTAATTGTAAAGGCCATGAACTTCCAGGCTCAGATGGTGTTCAAGGTTTCCTGCTTATTAACATGTAAATACTTTTTTTTTTTTCATTCTGGGAAGATTCCACTTCTCCGAAGTGTTTACGAATACCTTGAATGTCTTCCAAGGACAACTAGTCCCTTTTACTGGCTTGGGAGTTTTCCCAAAAGAGATGTGGCTTCTACTAATACTGCCTTTTATCCTTCTCCTTCTTCAAAATATTTCTGGGAATACACCATTCTTTTTCCAATGTATTGCAATTTATTTCTGTCTCTTATGTGTAGTCCTAAAAATGTCACCCTTTTTGTAATCTAACTTCTTTAAGAGGAGGAGGGGGCTATATGAAAATGGTGTTTCTTATTTTGGTATGTTGATTTTCTTCCCTGTGAAATTACTGACATGTAATTATTTGGGGATATAATTATGTAGGTATTTTGGAAAATAATGGTAATATGAAAACCCTTTCTATATTGTAAGTTTTGTTTACCGTTTTCTGAATGATTGAGGATCAATTGATTATCTTTTATTTATTACAAAGGTCAGAACTGAATATCCTTTAAGCTTTTCCTTAAGATAAATACACCTTTGACACTTTGTCTTATGATTCTTTCTGCAGTGAAAATAGCTTGTTCTTTGGATTGGATGATGGTCCAAGTTACCCCATATACATACTGCGGACATCAGTATATATTGGCTGAGGAATTATACCTGGGATTGGGCTGTCCTGTGACCTGGATAGAAACATATGCATATCATTTTATATATCCCATTTCTGATTGTGGTATCAGGACACAGGTGAGAATAGTGATTATTTGTAAAAATAATTTATAAATAATTTTCCAGGCCTTTATACCTGGTGCTAAAATTGTTTTTTAAGAACAAATTTTGCTCCCGCTTATAATGGTTTAGGAATAGATAACAACACTGTTCCTACTTACCATTCGATGAATATCGGGCCATCTAGGTGCACAGGACCTCGTAGCACAGATTAAGAGTGGTTAGAGAACTGACCTTAGGTTAACTTCAGGCTACTATTGTATTTCACTACAGCTTAGCAGACAGTTTTAAATTTCATTGAGAGCTCGTAAGGTGGAAGGTCCCCAGTCCTGAGTAGGTTTATCATATTCAGCTTTAGATCATTTGAACCTGCCCATGTTCTATGAAGACATGTGTCAATAGGGGGTGTAGATTTTCACTGGAATAAAATCTGTCAGCTATTTTGCTGGTACAAATCAACTGCATTGTTAACCTGATGTATTATTTTTTTAAAATACATTTTCAAATTTAAACACTGGATAGTCATACTACAAAAATATTTCATGCCAATTACTAATTGGAACAGTCATCTATGAATACGGTCTTGTCTCCATTTTAGAAACAAGGGAGCTGGAGCTTCAGAAGGCGCTTTAATAATTGGCCTGGGGATGCCCAGCTGGTGGGTGATATTTGAGAGGTCAAACCAGGATGGCCATCCTCTAAAGCTTATGCTTTGAACCACTCTATTGTTTGACCTCCAAATTATCTTTCTCAAAAGAACTGTTGAAAACCTTTCCTTTAATAAACAACGAAGGTGGCTCTCAGTGGCATTTAAGTCACTTCTAGGTACCATTCGGATTCCCCAACCCCACCCCGCCCCAAACACTTATCTGTGCTTCCAGATAATAATCTCTCTTGTCCCAGTGGGTTGTCAGACCTTCATGGGTTCCTAAAAGTGACAATAGCCACTTCAGTGAGCTTGAATGACTTCTACTTCCTGTTCCAATGTGTGTATGCCTCCTCTCTTACTAGAAATACCTTCTACTTAAACTTTGTGCTCTTCTAGGTTGTTTCAGAACATACTCTCATTTTGCAAAGTGAGCTGTACTATAACCCGAGGGGCCTACATTGGAGTTGTCAAATGGTCCCTCTGCAGTGTTCTGTCTCTAGGTGAGTCCAATAGCTCAGACCATTTTTGAATGCCTTTGCTTCACCTTTATTTATTAGAAAGCTCTGCAGAGGCACATATTTTGGAGACCATATGATTCACTCATAGGCTTATCTCCAAACACACACTAAATTAGCATTTACAAAAATATTTTAGTAAGTATGCTTGTATTTTGTAAAAATAACACCCATTTTAGAATCGAAACATGCAGTCTAGTAGAACTAGTTTATTTTATAGTAACTGAACTACAAAGCAGAGTCATTAAATACACAGAATCACTTTAGTAAGTAAAAGAATCAAGCATGATATTATCTTTCAAAGCTATTAATAAAAAATGTGTTATTTTCTGATACATTTCCATGTTAAGAGAGTAAATGGCTAAAAAAGTAAGAGAAAAGCAATATTTCATTTTAACACTAAATTGTAGAGACACACGAAAGAAAGAGCTTATCAGCTCTTCTGCAATACAAAATACACAAATGTATTTTGCTTGCAATTTTGTGAAACAGACATTGAATCCTAAAAGGACCCACGTTGAACTTTGAGACCAATGGAACAGAACCCTGATACACTTTAACCAGCTCAGTGAAATATGTACATCGAGTTGTTATAAATTTGAATGACAAATCTGGAAACCACCTGAAAACCACAGGAGAATTCTATCCCTGTTTAATATATTAAAATAGTTGACACAAAAATAAGAACTTAGAACTCAGAGCTAATGTGCAGTATCTTTTAGCATGATCAGAGTACTGTGGGGGCGGGCGGGTGCGCGGCAGAGAATTTTTTTGTGTGTGGTAAAATAGACATAGAATGGCTAAAATGGTAAATTTTATCTTAAGTTTATAGTTTAGTGGCATTAAGTACATGTACCTTGTTGACACCTCTGATCTTCCCTTTAACTTACTTTTAATAGGACAAAACAAAGGCTGAGGAATTCAGTGCTACCCATGCACTGCAGTGGGTCAGATTAAGCTTTTGACAGTTTTTATTTGCCATTGTTAGGACCTATTTGTCTAAGTCCGGGCACTTTGGTATTGTGCTAACGCAAACACTGTGCCATCTTCACCCAGGAGGCACAGGCCCTGTTCTGCACTGTTAAAACACTAAACTGCTTTCTGCTTTTCTTTCCTTTAGGAAATCAGTGTGGCTTACACCAGTTTCTACAGATGAAATAAAATCGAATCTCAGTCCCTTTATTGCTGACTTCGAGGCAACAGCAAAAGAGTTAGGATTACTATGTTTGAATTAAACTGACTCCTTCCTTAATAAAAAATGAAAACTTGAAATTGGCATCATGAGTTGTGTTGGAAAATATTGCTTTTTTTTGTACAAAAAATAATTGGTATAAATCTTTCCTTACGTATCTTGTTCCTTAAAAAAAAGACAACAAAAACCTTAATTTGCTGATTGTCCTGATTCAGTAAAGGTGTACTTTCAAATAGTATTATTTATTCAGGGTATGGCTTATTAATTTTATGTTAACTATTAGGTACTTGATATTACTCATTTAAATTCTATTTTCAGTTCTATATATGAGTTCAGCAATATGTCCTCAATGACAATAGTTTGATTTTTATTTCATATGAACCTCTGAAAATTGTTCTAAGTATTTTTTTTTTCAGTAAGAATGAAAAACAGAGATAGGTGTGGAAGTTTGCCAGAGACTAAAATTTGTGCAGAGCTTAAAATTAAATATACTAACTCCCAGGAGATACAAATCTGTTTATATGAAAATGCTTTAACGTGAGTGTGCTCTCCTAATCAATCAGTAAAGGGGAGTCCTAAAAATAATATCCATCATATTTGAGTAATTATTGCAGAAGAAATAAAATCTATATTCTAGAATTTAAGAACCACTCCCTTCACTGAAATTTGATGCCATATTTTCCTTCTTTCCTGATATGATTCTTCTAGACTTAAAATAAGTGACAGAGTGTGATGGTCAAGCATTGCGTTGTCCTCCCACCTACAAGCAATTCATTATGTGACCCCCATTGCCGGCTATTTGCGCTCTCTTCTTTTCACTAAAGAGGGAGTCTGCCCAATAATACACCAAAAAAAAAAAAAAAAAAGTCACTCTTGACTTTGGGGATATTTCTTACATTCCTGAATGTAAGTCTTACTGAAATGTCCATTTTGGGTGCTACATCCTTTGGGAAACAGATTTTGCTAAGATATTTTTCATTAAGTTTTAAAAGTAATTTAAAGTGCTGCTATCTTATCATATTCAACGAAATGTTGCTTACAGCTATTTACTTGTCAAACAAAGAATTTAAACATTGCCACAATGGGCACAGACTTTGGCAGTTAAGACTCAGGTAATGGTGACAACTCTGGAAGGCTTAAAATGAATGTCAGACAATACCACCAGTGTGCTGTGACAACTTATTTAATTCTAATAATCTGAAGAGTTATCCATTACTATTAAAGACCTTAGTTGACCTTTACATCCATTCTGTCACTAAATAAGGTGGGTACTATGAGCTTAAATTTACAAATGAGATAACTGAAGTCTTGGAGTTTTAGTAACTTCCGTGCACTGCTCTTTCTACAGTTCTAAATTTTAAAACAAGTATGTTCAAAGGAATACTTCTTTTCCCTTTGTGGAGAGCAGGACCTATAAAATGGCATCGGTCCTATCAAGATAGGATAAAGTATATAAAATAAAGTGGAGTCACCCATATCAACCAAGACGGCTGCCAGTCAGCCACGACACTGATTCAAGAGGGAAACTACCTAAGTAAGAGGAGACACATCTGGTAAGGAGACTCATCTAAGATATCCACACACATGGTCAGAGCAGACATGCCTGGCAAGGAGAGACACCTAAGATATCTGTACATGTGATCAGAAGAGCCATGTCTGCAGGGCGGACCACCCATAGATAGGCTCCTGGGGAAATTCCCCACTTGCCGACACGGGTGCCAAGACACTTAACTAAAGGACCCAGACGGGTGGAGTCTGCCGCTTTCAAGGTATAACTGAGGCAGGCTCCAGACCACTACTGAGACAGCTGAGCTCCACGCGCCAGTGTGCTGCTCCATGCCACACTGATCTCCCTTGGCATTGGCTGCCAGAGGCTCTGCCCTGATGGACTGAGGACTTCATCTGTCCTACTGTGCACCTGGCTCCAGAGAGCCTTCCTTGGAAGACGCGGACAGCTCCCTCGCCCACTGTGGTGTCTCTTGGACCTGCAGACTGAGACTGTGGGACTCAGGTTTGTGATCCCCCATTGATTGCTCTGTGTGTGTGTTATATTTCTCTTAGATCGTTAGAGTGTGAGTAGGACACATTAATGTATGTTGATGTTCTACTTTTAGTGAACCTGCATTCAGTAAAAGCTGAGTGACTAGTATAGTCATTGTGTGTGACTCATCTATTCCTTCCTCAGCAGCCAGCTAGCCAAGCAGTTGCCCAGCTGACTTACAGGAAAGACTATTGTGAACATATGCTTGTGACACACTTCCTCATATTTCTTTTTCTCTTTCTTTCAAGGCACTTTCTTGTCCCTTTTGTCTGCAGTATTCCATTTGCAATGGCTCTGGCTAACTGTTCTTCCTCCATTCCATGGCCCCTTCCTACCCCTCTCCCTATATTTTCGGCTCATATTTCTTTTCTTTTTTTTGCTTCTATTTCTTGTTCCAAAAATCTGTTAAACAACATCTCAAAGTAAGAGACAGTGATTCCCGACGCCAGTTTCCTAACCAACACTATGCCTGCAGACAACACAGTGACATCTGAGAGGACACCGATGTGGCTAGCACGCTCTTCAGTCCCTCAGCAAAACATGCTCACTGCCTCTTGTAAAGTGTTGCATTAGGCAGAGATCTGTTAAGCCTGAGTTAGGAGAGACTGCCATTTTCTTGCAAACACACTGTAGTGATCATTACTGAGTCTCCTACCCAGGCAAGATAGGCTTGAGAGGAAAGAAGTCTGTCAAGGCCTGAAGCCTCCAAGGTAAACCCTACAGAGCCCCTCTCTCCTGTCTTTGTGTCTGTTAACGGTATCACCCATGGGCCACTGAGGATGTCTACAGAATTTTCTGCTTGGTTGCTATGTAGAGATTTGGAACACTCAGCTCTAAGGATGGCTTTTTCTTAGAATTTGATGGTTAGTCTGGTGCCATAGTAAAAAACATTTGATGTAATTACGTAGTTATTCATTTGGAAAAATGTGGGTGTGGACACATATACATACAGATGTATACCCTTAGATATATTAAGTCCAAGTGACTGCACCCAAATTTGGATGCCAGCTCTGGTAATGAGAGACAGTCCAGACACACCTGAGGTGTGGAATTTGGTGAGTGAGTTTCTGCATAAACTCAAAGGCACAGTGTAAGTCGATGATGTTCTAGTGGCAGCCAGGTCCTGGTACTTAGCTTCTCAGATTGCTGATGTTGGGCGAGTGACTTTAGCTCCTCTGATGCTCAGCTTCCTCACCTGTAAAATGGAAAAGATCATAACAGTATCATCTTTTCATATGGATGTGTGAGAACTAAATCAGTTAATGTGAGTAGGACACTTAGAACATACACTGCAAGCTAGATAAGTGAACCTAACTGGTGGGTTATTAGAACATCTACACTTCCTTTATTAAGAAAAATGCTAAATTCACCATATTGTAGAACATAGTTTATTTTACCTGAAGGCTAAAAATTCTCCCTGATACTTATAGGCTTTTATTTTTGTTTGTTTTTTGTATTTTTTTTTTAAGTCAAGTTAAATAATTTGGTTAGAATAGGTTTCCTCCTAGAACTGTTCTGGAGTTTCTCTGTATGAGACTCCAGTCCCCGCAAACGTATTTCTCATGAGGAACAGTGACATCAGATGGGACCAAATGTTCATTAATTTATTAAACACATATTAGTTGAGTGAGGTGAGTGCCCACTCTGACTGGAGTTACAATGATGAGAAGTCAGGGAGAAACAGGTAAGTATCCAGTCAATCAAGGGTCAGAGGGGTAAGCAGAATGAGGAGGGAAGGAGAGGGTTTACAAGAGGCAGTGAGCATGTTTTGCTGAGGGACTGAAGAGCGTGCTAGCCACATCGGTGTCCTCTCAGATGTCACTGTGTTGTCTGCAGGCGTAGTGTTGGTTAGGAAACTGGTGTCGGGAATCACTGTCTCTTACTTTGAGATGTTGTTTAACAGATTTTTGGAACAAGAAATAGAAGCAAAAAAAAAAAAAAAAAAGAAATACGAGCAGAAATGACGTAGGTGGAGTTTGAGGGGGAATGTGTTTCAGGAGGAAGGAAATAGTACTGAGAAAAGTTCAAGACTTTTGAGGGCTTGACACTTGAGAGGACTGAAAGAAATAAACAAGGCTGGACTGAGTTTTGAGATCAGGAGGGGTGAGGGATGAGGCTGAAGAAACAGTCAAGTAACTGATCACAAAGGAGCAAGCTCTGCACATTGATTACATTTTAGTGCATTAGATACTTTACCTAAAATATACACGTATTTCCAAACAATAAAGTTTAAGCCTGGGCTTTGCAACATAGATGAGAGAGGAATTTAAAAATTTTCTACTTTTGGCCATCATTATTATATATCTTGTGCAGAATACATTAGGCTTTCTTTAAAATAGAATGTTGTAAATTTTTTTGGATCTTCCTTTATTCTTGAATTCTGGTACAGTATTGAACATCGGAGGTAAAGGCTTCTTGTTATTTTACATTTATCAATGCTTAAATAGAGCACGTACACTTAATGCTAGCATAAAAACTACTATTGATAAGAAACTTTCATAAGAGGTAAAATAGAAATGACCACTATGATAAAGTCGAAATGTGTTCTGTCCTTCACTTTCTTAGTTCCTTAGCCATTAACTAAACATGATACATACCCCCTACAATAAAAAACTAGAAAGGTAAACATTATCTTGAAAGGAAGTGTTAAAGATTTATGTTGACAAAAATAAGTTATTAGAAAACTGGATATACCATATAATTTTCAGCAAAAAAGGAGAAATTAAGATACTATTCTAAACTCAAAGTCAATAGTTTTGCCAGAATTCATCAGTGCTTAATGGCTCTATGGTTAATCTCATACAATCTACCTCATTAAGTGGTAAAAGCATCTAAGCACTTTGTAATTATTTTGTCTAGGAGGATACTACATACCAGGAAATTATATTGTTCAAGATTTAATGAACATACTGTGTTTATTTTAGTGATACATATTTTTTAGCTGCAATGATTGAGGCGGTTGTTTGGTGATCCTTGTATATAATACTTTAAGTCCTTTTTGACACAAGGCAGATTTAAGTTAAATGTCAATATTTAGCAACTCTTTAGTAGGTTAGTGGCTTTATACATCATCAAAGTTGCCCTTTGTCATGTTAATATGAAATTGTTTTTTTCATTTTATTGATGTGAACACTGAAGTACCCATTACTGGATTATACAACTAGTAAGTGGCCAAATTTGGATTTGACCTTGGCTCTTTAATAGTGCTTAAACTGGCCCTGGCTGGTGTGGCTCAGTGGATTGAGTGCTGGCTTGTGAACCAAAGGGTCACCAGTTTGATTCCCATAATGTAGATAATATCAGGGCACATGCCTGGGTTTCAGGCCAGGTCCCCAGTAGAGGGCACATGAAAAGCAACCACACGTTGAGAAAAAATAATAATGCATAAACTCTTTAGTAACCAGAAAAGTATCTTCCATATAGCACTATATAATTTGATTTTTAAAAAATGTTGAAACTTAAATTGTTCCTGCTAGAATCTGTACTCACTTATGGGCTGAATAAGTTTGGGTGAGTTTCTCAACGTCTCTATGTCTCAATTTTCTCATCTTTAAAATGGGAATGATAATATTGCAACAAAATTTGATGGGAGTACTAAATACAGGGTGGGGCAAAAGTAGGTTTATAGTTGTGAGTATGCAAGTTTATTCTTGTAGTATTATTATTATTATATTAGTTTTCATATAAGCAACTGTAAACCTACTTCTTCCCCACTCTGTATATTAACACATTCACAGTGACTAGACAGTGCCTGGCACATAACAATAACTACTCAATAAATGATTCCTATTATTACTGAAATATGACAAAAGCCACCTTCCTCACAGAAGCGATCACTGATCAATAAAACCATGTCTGGTTGTCCAGGATTGACTTGAAGAGAAGCAGGGACTAAGTAATATAGAACAGCAAAAAATTGCTCTTTACTGTTCCCAAATTAAGCTAAGTGTCCAGGCCTACTGCAATGATTTGATGATATCTACTACTCCAAGACAAAATAGAATTAAACAATGTAAAAAGTCTATTATTCTGCCCCATTCATGGAGAGTCATTTTAATATAGAGACAGAACTGAATTCTTTGAAAATATTATTAGCTAGTGGTAAAAGCGGGGGAGGGAATCAAGCCTTTGGATCTCTTTCCTATTAACAGCAAGCAACAGCCCCATGGCCTCCCAAGAAGTTGCTGAGGCTCTCCCCAGTTCTGTCTTGCCAGGAAGCCAGGTAGAACCAGAGACGGTGACTAATTCTCTCTACCAGCCCGATGAGAGATCACAAAATTACCAAAAAGGGGAACTACAAGCCCTTGGGGTAAGTCAGCTTTAGTTAAAAAATTGGCTTAAGATGGAGAAGATAACTACTGTGTGGAAAACCTTATTTATGCCCTTAAGGAGGAACTGCTGAGTTACTTATCCCCAAGTCAATGTCATTGCTCCTTTAAGAAAAGACAGCGGTGTGTCTTGGACCCGGGAGGAGAACTGCAGAGGCATAATCTTGTGGTAGAAAACATCCTATCAACATGGTGGATTCCACTCAGGAGGCTGAGCCCTGTGAACTCCTATTCTGTACTTAAATTTAAAAATTGGGTTGAGGGACAATTGAGTAGACTGCGGCCTAATAATCTGCCTGCCTTTGTCTTTTAAGGGCCCCAGAGCAGGCGGGGAAGACGGTTTGATTAGCTTATGTTATCAGCCCCATCTCCTTTACTCGCCCGCTACTGCTACTTTCCCAAAGGAGTGTGTGAGAGGAGCCCAAGCGCGGGGGTCGGGGAGGGGAAGACCAAGGGTTGCCAGTGGAATTGGTGGGAACAGCAGGGAACGAAAACCTTGCCCAATTAATTCAGGCTTGACTTTTCCGAGCACTGATATCTCCTTTCTGAGGAAAATGTAAATGATTTCTTCTTGGTACATACTAATACATAACCATTATGGTTCCCCCCCTCCACCCCCCCTTACAGGCTCTCCAGATCCTGAACGGAACAATAATTCTGGCTCTGAGTGTTTTTCTGACTGCTTTACAAAACTCGTACGAAATCTTCCAAAAATTCGTTTTTTTTACCATATACACGGGCTATCCGCTATTGGGTGCTATATTTGTGAGTATTCAAATACCCTGACTACAGATAATTTCTGAGAGACCACTGCTAGAAATGTGTTTGATTACAGAAGGAATATTCTTCGGTCATTTGAAAGGTGCATTCTGTGGGTTTGATGGGTAATTCTTGACACAAAACTAGTTTGTAAAAACAAAGCACCTTATCTTCTCATTAAAAGAAATCATATTGGTTGAGTATGAATTAAGCCCCAGATGTTAATTGAATACTCATGTAATTACACTTACGGATACTAAGAAAATAGAATGACAAATGAGTAGTGGTGAATTGCTTTGTGGAGCAGCCAAGGGAGTCCTGGTTTGGGAGAGAAGAGAATTGCCTGCTGATTACTGTCTGAAAGTCAGAAGAGTAGTTCCCCTATTGGGAGAAAATGTAATTATTAAGGCTAGGTGATTTTTTAAAATCTAGGTGATTTAAAAAATTTATTCAGCTTTGTAATTTAATTATCACCTACCTGATGGATTTTTTGGGGTTTGTTTTTATAAACTTGTTTTGCTTGTTTATTCTGGTGCTAGAACTTTGAGAATTTATACATGTTCAATCTTGGACTAAACTTGGAAACAAGATGCTACCATGAAATCTAAGATGGGAGTGTTAGTTGAAAAGAGTGACTAGAACATGTATTTGTCAAATAAATGAAGAAGAAAAAAAATTATAACAAGCCTTGCACTCTAATTTTTTCACGCTTTTATTTTTCAAAATCACTGAACTTTAGATCTCCTTTAAAAAGAACTTGCTCAGCCCTCGCTGGTGTTTTCCAGTGGACTGAGCGGCGGCCTGAGAACCAAAAGTTTGCCGGTTCAATTCCCAGTCAGGTCCAGCAGGGGGCATGTGACAGACAACCAATGGATGTTTCTCTCCCACATAAATGATTCCCTCCCTCTCTCTCTCTTTCTTATCTTCTCTCTAAAATGTATATAAAAATTTTTTCTTAAAAAAAGAACTTATTCATATGGCTAAAATTTCTTGGCCCAAATCAGATCTCATATGCTGACAAAAGGTTATATGCTCTTTATGGATATAGTATAAAACATTTAATTTGGATTTAATATTTCTGAAATTTTTACATAGTTAATATCATCATTTTGATGGAAGAGTTATCTGACTTTCTAGAAGATCCAAGGTATACATTTGCTTTGCATAATGAATCCTGACTACCTAAATGGAAAAATATCCATAAATAAAACCTTTTAATAGTCAATCAGAAAAGAGCTTTCTTTTTTCAGAAAGTGAGGTCCATTTGTCAAAAAACAAAACAAAACCAAACAAAACAAAAAAACCCCAAAGAGCCATAGTCAGGGAGCCAGAGTTTTACTCTTTTAGCATCTTCAACACTAAGATTCAAATCTGACCAATGGATTCCCATTGCTGGAAGCTTCTCTCCAGCTGTGTATCACCTACAAAGCAAAGTCTACGGTCCAAGATGTGACACAGAGACCTTCATATCTGGCCTCACCTTTAACTAAACTCTTGTCTCCCTCCCCACCCCCCTGTATATCGACTCTGTGATTCCTTCTATTTGTCCAATCTTTCTCTTATTTATCCTTACTAACTCTGTGACTTTGGAAAAGATTTTTAAAATCTCACCCATACGTTTCCTCACTAGGATGGTGGAAATGATATGAGGACTTTCTCTTTGGGTCTCTGAGAAATGTAAAAAATGTATGTAAAAATCCTTAGTTATTGTTAATCATTTGAGTGCTTTCTGCCTGCTTGGCCTGTACCTGAGCCCTGACTGTGGTTATTTCATTGTTTCCCAATGCAGGTACAAGGTAAGTAATATTAACAGGGGATATGTACACCTGTATTTTACAGAAAAAGAAACCAAGGCAAAGAGGGGTTCAATAATTTGTCTAAGGTAACAGAATGAATATGAGCTAAATATGGGGCCAGAACACAGAGCATTGTCCTTAACCATGAAGCTATAGCAGCTCAGGCATTTCCTGGGATAACCTCTTTGTTATTTAAAACAGGATTCAAAGTCTGCTCTTTCATGTTGAGCCAGAACTCAATAGTTGAATTTTTATGTAGCAGGCTTTTACTCTTCATGATTTTGGCAACTTTTCCCTCACACCATAGGAGCTGTAAACTGTTGGTAAATGGTTATGAGCTTTATGAGGTAAAAAAACAGAATGAGGTTTTGAGATTTCAGTGTATCAAAATTAGAGTCATGGAAGCAATAGCATATCAAAATAGCCTTTAAAAACAGTGGCTATATTGATATAGACACTTAAATATTTGCAAAGGATCTTTTAGAACATCTAGTTTGATAAATCAAAACCTTGAAGCTTGGTTAAGAATGTGAGGATGATATTACATGTACATGTGTATGTAAATAAATATTATTTGCATTTAATAGAAATATAAGCATACCAATAATTATATTACATTAAACATATATTATGTTTTTAGATTATGCACACCCACATAAACCTATAGAAAGTCAGACAGAAAACTAAATGAGAATATATATTTACTCAAAATTTAAACTTAAAGCTGTATTAATATAAAATGATGAACAACATCAGGTATAATTTTGTGTTCTAAGATGTGAATTTCAAAAAGAAGTGTTATATGACTGTTGCTAGATATACCAAGAGAGGACAAAAAACAATGGCGGTGACTTAATATTTTCTCATTTGCTTCATTTCTCTTTTCAAACAGTTTATTAGTTCAGGATCTGTATCCATTGCAGCCGAGAGAAAACCCACAAGAATGTTGGTAAGTGGAAGTTCTTTCTCTTTTTCTATGATCACAGGAGTAGAAATTTTATGAATTAATAATAGGAGAGTAGCCCTGGCTGGTGTGGCTCAGTGGGATGAGCACCAGCCTGAGACCTGAGAGGTGGCTGGTTTGATTCCCAGTGAAGGCACTTGCTTGGGTTGTAGGTCAAGTCCCCAGTTGGGGGCATGCATGAGGCAACCTATCAATTGATGTCTCTCTTTCTCCCTCCCTTCCCCTCTCTCTAAAAGTAAACAAATAAAATTGTTTTTAAAAAGTCTTTAAAAAATAAAAGGAGAGTAGAAGTTGGTAAACCCAGCTGAGACACTGAGTCTCTTCTATGCTCAAGAAAATTAATTTTCTTAAGGCAGTCGTATGGCAGATCATCAGAAAATCATATAAATTGTGAATATGATGGTTAGTATGAATATTTGATGAAAAGCTTAGGAAAAAAGCTTCTTGATTTGTGTTGTTAAATTTGAACAATTCTGATTATTTTGAGTGTACACTCTCTCACCGTGAGTTCCACAACTGAAAGCTAACAATTCTATCTTTAGTGATCCATTAAAGAATTACTAAGTCTCTATTATGTGTTCCTGCTAAATCGTCTACTCCTTTAAATTACTTTCTTAGTGCATTCACTCTCCCTCCTTCCTAGATGGCTATTTCTCCTTTATATTCTATTCTCAATCCCTTTCTCTCATCTCCACTCTCTCTGGTGATGGCCTTGCTTCCTATCCTGAGACACTCAAGCCATTAGAAGAAAATTTTCAGATTCCCCTCTAACATCTCCTTCATTGACCAGATCTGTAGCCATATATTTTCTTCCCTCTAACCTTTTACCATCAGTGACTTCTCTTGTGATATTCTCCAAATCCTAGCTTCCATTCCTTCCCCACCACACAAGTGCATCATCCAATTCTCTTTCTCTTAGACCTTCTTAATTAGCTATAAAGGTCCAGTTACTTCTCTTAAAAGAAAAAAAAAAATCTCAACCTTATTTTCTGCTAGCCACAGTTTGTTTTTCCTTTTTAGCTAAACCCCTTAAAGGAATTATCTTTATCCTGTCTGCAATTTTTATTTACCCAGTTTCAACAAAACCCACTCCAATAGGCTTCATTTTCTCCCCTATCACATCCCTATAACTGCTCCCTATAAGATTACTGAAGATCTCTACATTGAGGATTTCTCAGTCTTCCTCTAACATGCTCCAAGGGTAGCACCTAGCACACAGCTGGTCACTCACTCCTTCCAATAATGTCTTCACTTGGCTTCCAGGACACCTTGATTGGTTGGTTTTCCTCCATTTTTTTTTTTTTTAATCTCTCCTTTTCAATCTCCTTTCCTAGTTCCTTTTCTTCTCTCTGACGTTTTAATGTTGGGGTGCCCCAGCATGTAATTCTTTGCCACCTTCTCTACTCACTCCGTTGGCAATCTCATTCATTGTCATGGCTTAGAATGACGTGAATCTGCCCACAACCCTGAAATTAATACTTCTAGCCGAGAGCCCTCTCTTGAGCATCAGACTGCCTGTTTAATTGCTTTCACTTAGAATTCTAAAGGTCCAAAACCCAACTCCTGGCCTTCCTGCAACCACCTCCATCCACTGTGTTCCTCATATCAGCAAATGGGAACTCTATGCTTCCAGATTTCCGGCCCAAAACCCTAGGGTTATCCCTAATTCTTCTCTCTTTAACAATCTTGAATATAATTTGTGAGCAAATCCTGTTGGCCATGTTTTCAAGCTGTATGTAAGTTTGACCTTTGCTCATCTTTCTACTGATAACACTTCCTCCATTCCACACACTGTCGGTCTTAATCAGGCTCTGCCCTTCTACCTTCGGCCCTGTCTGAACTAGTCTCACCTGAAGCATTAATATTCCCTTCAAAATGTAAATCTAATTGTGTTTCCCCTTTACTCGAAATCCTTTAAAGGCTCTATATTTCTCTAAGAGTAAGAACTAGAGTCTTATCCATGATGTGAAGGGCCCTGCATAGTCTGCTGTCTGTTCACTCTCCATCTTCATTTTCTGATGCTGTTTCTGTTGATCACTCCCCTCCACCTACCTTGCCCCCTTGTTTCCTGGAACACACCCGGAACACGGTGGCCTCAGGGCTTTGACAGGAGTGTTTCCTGGACTGCAAGGATGTCCCTCCAGATATCCTCAAGGCTAACTCCCTCAAGCTCTTTATTGCCTCTCCCCACATGTTATTCCTAATGAGTATCACAAACCTCCATTCCTCTCTCTGGCTTCCATATCCTCCTTACTCCACTCTATTATCCCATAACACTTAATTACTTAAAAAAAATACTACATTATTTACCTATTAGTATATGTAATTTTTTTTTTTTTGTTATTGCTGCTAAGCATGTAAGCTCCTTGAAGGTGGGGATCTTTGTTCACTGATGTTTGCCCAGCATTTAGGATACTGCTGGTTGTGTAAACAATGTTCAATTGATATTTATTTAAATGAATTGTAGACAAAGGAAGGGAGTATGGGCTGCCTATATTAACTGAAACTTCTTACTGCTTTCTAGATGAAAAACAATTTTGGGGTGAACATTGCCAGTGCTACAATTGCATCAGTAGGCTGTTTTTTCCTCTCAGCAAACTTAATAAGTGACATCCTGTTACTCAAGACTTGTTGGTCTTCACCTAAGACTGCATCATCACGAGACTTATGCATTTACATGGGTGCCTCATCAACTGTATGTTTTAAAAAAAAAAACTTATATTCATTATAAAATATCACAAACAATCCAAAATGTATGGTTACCATCCTGCCTTGATTTGAATCTTTGCTCTGCCATTCATTAGCTCAGTAATGAAGGGCACAGTAGATAACCTCTCTGTGTTTCAATTTTCTCATTTTTGATATGACAGTAATACTATCAATCACAGTGTTGGTACAAGGATTAAATAAATTAATATGTGATAAGCAATTAAAATAGCGTTTACCACAGTGAGTTATTTTATTATTTCTATTACTCCTATTACTAAAATCTCCAGAGAGTTAAAATTTTTTAAAATTTTGTTTCACATCTTGTTTTTAAAAACCAACTTGAAAGATATACAAGTTTCTCTGTGGTCTGGGATTTTTCAAATAACGACTCATTGAAGTTTTGAATTACTTCACTTTTGAATGTGAGTGTGGAATTTTCAGAGGAGAAGTTCTTTAATAACCTTTCCAAATTCTATTTTTTCTGTTTAGGCATTCTCTCTCTTCTGAGGTCAGCTTAGAAATTAAGATATTCCTTGAATTTGTCCATTTTCCACATGATGATTTATGAACTATTATCTATTGACACTTCTAATCCTCCAGTTTGCTGATGCTACACATGGTAGTTTGTGTCCCCATTTTGTTTATTTTATTTTTCATGACCTCAGTTTATATTTCTATGGGTCTGCTTTTTCTGTGGATTTTATGGTATTTTCCTTCCAGAGCAATTTTGTATTTGTTTTTTTCTGGGTGCCTCAGTAATAAGAGAAGGATCACTAATCCAGTACATTTTTTGTTTAACATTTTTGCTTAGTATTTTAGTGTTTAGGAATAGTATCAATACCGAAGGCTTTATGAAGCACTGTTAATGAAATTGTGGAGGGGTGATATTTGTCCATTTTTTAAAAAGCTTTCTACTCACCTTCTTAGTTTACTGCTATTGCAATTGGGAGATGTTAGTGACTGGGTCAGAATTTTGCTTCTATATCTTCTTCTCCCCATGACTACTTCACATGATACAGAAATACAACATCTCCCTTTGTCCGGGAAAAATATTTGCATGTGTTCAGATTGATGTTCTGTCTCTTACAGAGAGTTAGTGCGTGGCTGTGTATTAAACCAAACTTATGGTTTACTTTGTTCTATTCTGTGGGAGGGAAATGTAGTTTGATTTCCTGCTGACATTTTTTTTCTCTGAATGTCTCTACTGGGTTTGATATGAGGCATCCTATCCCCTAGGGCCTTGTGCTTTTAATGCTGATCTTGACCTTGCTGGAATTATGCATAACCATCTCTATCTCAGTCAAGTGGTGCAAAGCAAACTTCTTCCGTAGAAGAGAGGTAGGTGTGTTTAAATGACTACTAGTTCCCATAGTGTGCCACCTTCCTCTGGACTTTGAGGTCATCCCTGCCTTCTGAGGTTGGAAAGAAATGTCTATGCAATAATGACTTGTGGGCTTCCTGGAATAACAGATAGTAGGAATGTTAGAATGTTAGAGATGGAATGAAAGCTGGAAAAGAATTCTGATGTAAAAAAATGCAAGAGGAAAGCATGCATTTCATACTAAGAGTGCCTATTTTTTATACGAATAGAATTGTTATTTTCTTGTAACTTGTCACTTTCTAACTGTATACCCAGGGGGAAAAAATCACCAATTCCTTTTAGATTTTTGGTATCTTAACTGTAAAATGAGAATGTTTCCATTCATTTCTGATGTTTGTGTGAGGACTGTGTATGTAATACTTTCACACAGTAATAATCAGTGAATGGATATTATCAGTGATGATCATGATTGATAGGAGGAAGGGATGGAAGGAGAGGCAGGTGATGAGCCTCTTCTTGGAGGCTGATGTTGTTTTATTTTTCAGGCAATTTCCTCAACCCCCAATTCTGTGGAATCAGAATCACATCTTCATTAAAGTAAATTTGAACACAAGGAAATTCAACCTCAAATCTCCATGAGTTAGAGTTCCAGCCAAGGACTTGAAAGAACATGAGCTTTGAAATGCATTTCTACTATCATGGTACCAATTGTGAGAGACCTGGACATCTGATTCAATCCCTTCTTTCCTCATTATAAATTCCATGCTTCTTTTGGCCTTCCTGGCTTTGTGACTTCTATGATCATCCCTCCAATGTTGTTCCCAGAAAGTGGTTCTCTTTCTTTTTACCTAACAATGCCATTACCTTATGAAGTTTAAAGAAGGCAGGGAGAATAATCTCTATCTCATGTAGTATTCTCTCTAAAATCCAACTTCCATCTATCCAATGAGAAGAAAAGTCAGATTTATTCTTTTTTATTGCAGAAAAAATGCTTCTTGTCTTTAGGTCAATTAGCATTGCAAAAGCTGTCAAATGAAAAAAAATCATCATCATCATTAAGGTAAATTTTAACTGTATTTGAGGTGAGGGGGTCAAACCTCAAGATTTTAGTTCCATCAGCTGCTGAGATACATTCACACATGTCCTGATACAGAAATAATGGTTTAGGTTGAGGGCTTTGAGAGCAAGACCTACATTTATTCTTCAAAGCATGGTGAGAAACTGCAAACCAGAGAAATAAAGAATAAAGGCTTTAAAGTCTCAATATCTCGGTTCAAATTCTGATACTGTCACTCATAACCTGTGTTAATTTGAGCAAGTTACTTAACCTCTCTGACCTATTTTTCTTCATCTGTGAAATAAGTGTAAGAGTATCAGTTACTATTTCAACAGTTTTTATGAGGGTGAAATAGAAGTAAAGCAAGTGGGAAATGGCACCACGTTCCTTGACAATGAGCTTGCTGTTGTTGGTCTTATAGCTGCTGTTGAGGCAGAGGCGGGATCGTGGCCAGATGTTCAGCAAGGATGGCAGAAACCCTCGCTCTCCCACTGCGGCTCCCCCTACACCCTCCAGCAACTTCAATGGCGTTCTTTTCTTCTGATATATATGGTTTCTGATTTATAAATCTACTACTGAATTATTTGTATATCTGATCTATAAATTAATTTTTCACTCTTGACACTGAACTGAATCATCTACAATGTCCATTAGTTCATACACAAAAGTTACTCTTAGCTCCTTGTTTGCTATATGTGCAAAGATCTTTCTACAGTCTCTACTAATTCTCACCTCTCTTCTTCAGAATATATGTGTGTATGTGTGTGTGTATATACACACACATATATATATATACGTATAGATATAGTTTGTCCAGAAGTTATCCAGCCATGTAATATGAAAAATAGAGACATTTATTGAAGAAGATGTAAGATACAAGAAACATTGTACCTAGAACAATGATGCCTCAGTCCTCTTCAAAGTAAGCACCTTCGGACCACACACAGTTCTCCCAATCAGCTGCCCTGCTGTATTTTTCTGAATCTCATTGGCGGTCTGAAATCTCTTCCCTTTCAAAGGTGATTTTAGTTTTGGGAAAAGACAGGAGATGCAGGATTTCAGATCTAGACTGTAGAAGGCTGAGTCACCTGGGTGATTTGATGTTTTGCCAAAAAGCCCTGCCCGAGATGTGATGAATGAATGGGCACGTCGTCATGATGAAGCTGCCAGTCAATCACCAGTTGCCCACAGCTGTGGCCTTCTGAGTCCTCTGAAAAATTTCCTCAGAGGAATGTTCAAGCTTAATGCAAAATTTGATTCAGATTCATTGCTTTACTTGCTCAGTCATTTTGAATGCCATGGCCATACAGTACACATGCTCACTCAACGGTGTCTGTTGCCCCCACTGAGTAGTACAGTGAAATCATTGTTCATGCTTGTGCATTCCAGTCCACTCTCCTTGGCTGCCAGGTTATATTGATGTTGTGCAAACTGTTCTCATTATATACTATTTTTTACATGATATACTAATTGTATATATACTATTTTTTTTTTTAGTACATTCAACAATCATTTAGGGAGTGCCTACTATGTGCCATGTACTGTATTAAGAGTTTAGCATGTATTAGAGATTTATTTGGAGCACCTGGGAAGCCTGTATAAATCTTTCTCTTTGAATTTCTGAGGTCATAGAAATGAAAAGACAAAGGTATTCTCTTCAAGTTTGGACTCAGTGCTAAGCCTATTAGGACCACCTGTCTCATTCTGTGAATAGTATTTTTTCATTTCTGTGGAGCATTGAGAGTTTGGTATCAGTCTCAGCCTCTCTCAGTGTTGGCATCTTAACCATATTTATTGAACCTATACTTGCCTATGGGGGTGGGGAGGGAGAGAGGGACATTTTTTTGAGAGTATCAGAAAATATCCCTTAAGAGATAGTACACTTCCAATGTGTAACATACAAATTCATGCATATTTATTTTGAGTAATTTGAGCATTCAGTTTGAGAAAACAATGGTTCAGATGCAATATGACAGCAAATTTCTTTTGAGTTTGGGGAAATAACCTTTGCTTGTCAAAGAGGAAGCCAGATGGAGAGGTAGATGAAAAGCGTGTGCTAATGTGTTGTCAAAAGGAGGAAATGTATGTGGCGGGAGAGACATGTTAGCTCAATTATCTCTTCCTTTCAGGCAGACACATGATCAAAACTCATCTTGATAATTTTGCCCCCACCAAAAAAAAAACAAAACCCATTTTGTCATATGGTTCAATGTTCACTGTTGTGAAAGATAATGGAGCATGGATGTAAGGACCCACAGTGTGGGCGCAGAAGATGACACGCATCTCAGAAAGGGTAGGAAGAAGATGCTGGTCAAAACTGGGGTATGAAACAATTTGGAGATCATGAAGTATGTCTCAGTCTCTGGTTTGCATTTTTCAAGGTTCTATTGAAAATTCTCATAAAATAGCATCATATCCAAATACTGAAGACCATCCTCCATTGGTTTCCTGTCTAAATCTCAAGTCTAATGTCTAATTATTTGCTGCACACATAATGAACTATTGCATACTGCCAGAAAACAACATAAACAGGCATTTCTTCAGGTCTTTTCCCAGCAGAGGTGGTGTAATTTCACTGAGGGAGAGGCAAGGAAATCCCCTGGGGCTATGATCTTAAATCCTGGCTCAAATATCCCTTTCTCTGGGAATCTCTTCATTGAATTCTACATACCCCTTTTCAGGTAGAATTGATATATCCTCTGTATGTTCCAGCAGCCTCTGACATTGGTACCATTATATCATTTATCTTTGTTCTACACTGGTAGATTGTGAGCTGGAAAAGGGCTGGGATCCTGGTTCTTACCTCTGCACACTCAGTGATACCAGCAGTACCTGACATGGTACATTAAGTCCTTTTTAGATGAACGTATAAGTGAATGAGGTTTATTCCTTAATTACAATAACACATTGGTCAGATCCAACAATTCCTGAAGGCACAGTGGGAAGATGGCACGTGGGTTAATAAATTTTTATGTCCTCTCTTCATACAATTATTTTATTAGTTTCCTGGAGAAAGAGGAGAGTGAGGTTTTTATCACACCCCAGAGAACCAATCCAAATGATTAGTGGTACAATTTGTAGAATCTTACAGTTTAACGAAGATGCATTCAAGGCTATGTCTGTAATTAAACTGAAATTAAAGTGTCCCAAGTCTGTGTATCTCACCTGTATATTCACTTTGCTGTGGTCTAGCTACAATTGCAGTCAGAATGAACACGTCAATTAAGCTCTAACCCTAATTGTGGCACACTGCTCAGTCTAGTGCTACTCAGACCTACTCATAGGATTTGCCATCAAGTTCATGTCCCTAGTGTTTTCACTGTCCCATCCATGTCATCACAAAAATCAAAGCAACTGACTATCAGTCTAATAATTTAGCAGACAACATCTTTAGTGTGAAGATGTCTCAGCACTCTGTCAGGAATGGTTCACAATAGTTACAACTCTTCCTATCCAGTTTCTAAGACCATCTGTTGCAGAGAGTCATATAAATAGTATCCAAAAGAGAGGAAGAGAGACAAAGACAATAAATACTGAAGTCAAAGATGAATCTGGAGATTCACAGACTAAGACACACTTCTACTTGCAAACAATGCTTCAGCCTTAGATTATGTGTGAATATCAATATGTCTTAAAGAGGGAAGATTGGCATTTCAGAGGCACAATTGGAGAGCTTCTGGCATAGAAATAGCTGAACTGGGACACAACTAGGGTTCCAAAAGAGAAGGATATCCCTTTCTGTTCTGCAGTGTTTCCCCCTCACTTTCTCAACTTCCATTAAACTGTTCCATCTTTAGGGTCTGTAAATCCTCCTGGTCTCAGGGAGAGTTATTCTGTAGAAGTCTCACATTAGTTTCCATTCAGTAGGTTACTCAGTTTTTCTCCTCACTATAACAAGAAAAACCCTGCTGATCTCAATCATCCAGTAAACTTATCTGCCTGACAAATGTTTTAACTATGAAGATAGTCATCAATGTCATGAGCCAATCCATCTTAACTGTCCAACCCTGAGAGGAAGCCCACAGGATTGTTGTTAAGAGTACTTTTCATCACTGGATAACAGAATCAATTAAAAAATGGACACAGAAAGTAGAAGAAGAACAGCCCTTGCTCTCCCAAACCCACGAGAACCCTCCAGGTAGGCACAGGCTATTATTTTTTTCTATGCTCAGTCTGGGGAAATGTCAATTCATGGGCTCAGTCATGGACCCATTTGGTTTATTTAATATGTTGATAATATGTTGAGTGTAAGGAAGCTATTTGCTATACTTTACCAGTAATTCTGTCTGGTTTATGGGAAGGAAGGTTTTTACTTAACTTGTGAACCGGGAATAACTTAAGTTTTCTAACAAAAGAAGGTCCCATTCTAGGTATGAGGAGGGGAGTTCGTACTATCAATATGGATCCCTTGCCTCTGTGTCTGTTGTGTGCTAAGGGACAGAGGCTTTTGAAAATGATTCTGGGCTCCTCCTTGGTTAGTCTTTGTGAACCTCAAGCTGTGGGATTCTGCTCCACTGTTTAGAAGGGAAATGTTCTTGGAGTGAAGGCCAGTAGAGGTGGATAATTTAGTTTTCCTTTGAATACCATACTTTCATGTTAAGACTTTCCTTTGAATGGTTTTAGGGGAAGCTGAAAATAGCACTTTGGGAATCAATGTCAAATTGATATGATTGCAACATGAAAAGTATATTCCAAATCTTTAGAAGGGAGGGTATTTCCAATTAACCTCTTCTGATAATGAAAACAGGATTAGAGATTCAACTAACCCTTCAAAGCCATTTCTTTGTGCACATGAAATGGTGTGTCAGTGACAAAATATATTCAGACACATTTTTATGTTAAAAGGACAGAGATGTATAGGTAAACATGTTTGATCATTTTTATTTTCACTCATCAGCATAGATTAATGGGAAAGAACTTGGATTAACTCTTGGATTAATAAAACTTGGTACAGTTTTCATTCCATTTTTTTCTCCCCTAATCACTGATTAGATAGTGATCTTGGCCAGTTACTTGGACACTTTGAGCCTCAGCTTTTTACTCATTTCAATAAAGATTTTAATTGCAAGATTATTTTGAAAAATAAACGATCAAAACTTCCCTTTTTGTGAATTTAGAACTTTGAACAGGAAGTTAGAAAATTTTCTCAAGACTGAATTTCTGTTTAAACTTCACAGAGTGTCTGCAATTGAACTTTCAGAAGCACCTTTCCATGGTAACATCCTGCTGGAGAGGCAAGTCTCATTATCACGCCAGACATGGCTGATATTTCTGAAGAGAGAGCTGGAATTCCTGGGCGTAAGTGAGCCTTCTCCAACCTCAGTTAAAACAAGGAGTGGCTCCAGGAAAGAATATTTTGTTGTATCAACAGTTTGTCCACTTGTATTCATAAGGAGTACAAGTAGAGGAAGACTTGGCACCAACTGGGTCTTGTTTGGTAGAAAGAAGCCTTTTTTCCCATGAAGATTAGAATGAAAATGACAAATAGGATCTGCCAACTCTGGCTAGTTGCTGGTGGATTAATGTAATGTCTTGCTGTGAGGGATTTATAATCTTTATTTTCACTAGATGGAAAGGACAAATGTTGGTGTCCACCATGACTACCTAAGTAAAGACACCTGAGAAATATATTGGCTATTCCTGCATTAGGTCATTCCTGTGTCAATTCTTAGCATGGTCAGAGGATACTGGAAAATACCACATTTGGATCCCTTCTTAGGACTGCCTAGGACTGCTTAAGACACCAAAACAATTTCTCATGTTTGGCCTCAATTAGAATGAAATTGATTCAATCTTGGGAAAATATTTTGTTATTTCACAAAATTTATGCCTTTTTTTTTATAGGTAACACACATTCTGATTGCTTCCATATGTTTTTATTTTGGAATACTCGTCTCCTCTGGAGTCCTGATTGCAGGATTTGAGAAAGATCTTTTTTTATCATTTCAAATAGGCTATCCATTCTGGGGAGCAGTACTTGTGAGTATATGTGTATCTATAGTTGTCTCTGAAATAACACTACACGTAGCTTTTCTCTTACCCAGATCAGATCTACCCAATTGTTTATCTCTAGCATTCAGATTATATATAATAATATGTTTGTTATATATTTACATATATTTGCATATAATATGTTTGCAGTTTATAAATCACCATAGGTTAAACATGTTAGCACACTTTTGTCAGATGAGAAACCTGAGATTAATACAAGTTAAATAAATTACTCAAGGTATCTTTAGCCACTAAAAATAGAACCTAAACTTTCAGAAATCAATTTTAGGAAAATGTATCCAACTCTATTCATCAATAAATTTAGTTTAGTAAAGGGAGGGGTGAAGAAACTGTTGAGGTGAGGAGAACAAAGTCAAAGTCATTTGATGAATTTCTCTCATGCCCTATAAACTTTTTCAGGTGCTTTCTCATAGAACCTGTTTTAATTATTATATTGTTTAGAAAACTAGAAAACTAGATGATTGAAGGAGATTACAAAGACATAGCTTTACTGAGGTATAGTTGATATACAATAAGTTACACATTTAATGTGTGTGATTTGATATATTTTGACACACACACACACACATAAAATCATTATCACATTAATGTAATGAACATCACCTCCAAAAGTTTCCTTGTGCCCCTTGGTAATCCCTCCTTCACTATATTCCCTGTCTTCCCATCCTCAAGCAATCACTGATCAGCTTTCTGTCACAATAGATTAGTTTGCATTTTCTAGAGTGTAATACAAATAAAATTATACAGCATGTTCTCTATTGTCTGGCTTCCTTCACTCAGAAGAATTATCTTCAATTAAGTCATGTTATTTTTTTTGTATCTACATGTCATTCACAGGATATATTTCAAGACTTAAAAAAATCACATTGGTTTGGCACTCTGCTAAAGACTTAGGACTAGATCAGGAGTCTTCTTGAACCTTGGTCATATTTTATTTGAAACTTCTCTCTACTGTCTTTTAATTGTAAACATTTAGTTTATTAGTGCCTCTCAACCCATCATGCAATCTGAATCTTTAAAATGGTTTTGAATGTATGCTACTGATTTATATTTGCACTGTGTACACTCTCATAATTACTAAATGTCTACATGATATATCTTAGTCTCTAGAGCTATACATGTCACAAACACATTTCTTGCTCAAAGGAGCTGACAGCTTAACATACAGGGAGCTCATACAAACAGTTACAAGTCAGGGACAGTAGTGTTAAAGCCGAATCATGCCCCAGGCACGGCAGCACTCTCTGCTCCCAAACCACCCATGGCCTGTCAGTGCCAGCATCGCCTGGGAAGCCTGATAGAACTGAAGAATCTCAAGTCCCATTCAGGACCTACTAAAAACAATCTGCATTTTAACAAGACCCTCGTAATTCATGTGTACTATTAATTTTGAGAAGCACTCTACAGAAAATAAGAATAATAAAATAATGAGCTCATGGAAAACCTGAAAGGTTAACTTTATAGGGTATCCACAACTTGACCTTATATTTGGAGGGGGGTGGCTGAAAAGGGCATAGAGAAGAGCAGAGACTCACTATGTTTACCCCTCCTTCTTTTGGGCAGTTTGCTATTTCTGGATTTTTGTCAATTATGTCTGAAAGGAAAAATGCAACATATCTGGTGAGTTGCAATTCTATCATTCATACTTTAGAAGGTAAGAAAAGTCAGATTTTAGGAGTCTTGAGGGAGGCATGTCATCATCTTTTATGTTATGAGATAATGTGATTGTTCTTTAGTCTGTTTTCTGTTGGATATGATCATTAGAATATCAATTGTGTCATTTAAAAACAATAAAATGTAATTACCTTGACACTTGTTTAGAAAATATCCTCACACGAGCCTTATCCTTGTAAGTGTAGGCATATGGTCAAATGATTTATTATCTTTTTAAGAAATTAAAATATATTTAAATTTTTTATTGTTGTTCAATTAGAGTTGTCCCCATTTCCCCCCATTATTCTCCCCTGCCCTACTCACCCCCACCTCCCACATTCAATCCCCCCTTGTCTTTGTCCATGTGTCCTTTGTACATGTTCCTTGATGACTCTTCCCCCTTTTCCCCCTTCCCCCCTCCCCCCTCCTCTCTGGTCAGTGTCAGTTTGTTCTTCATTTCCCTGTCTCTGGTTCTATTTTGCTGACTTTTTTGTTTTGTTGATTAGGTTCCATTTACAGGTGAGATCATACGGTATTTGTTCTTTCCCTCTGGCTTATTTCTCTTAGCATAATCCACTTCCATCCATGCTGTTGCAAAGGGTATGAGTTCAGGAGACTATCTGAGGAGAGACTCTGTGTGCCCATGTGGGTCTTCCTGAATGTGATCCCAGCAAGAAAGTTGTAGATCCTTATTAAACAAATACGTTTTCAAAGTTTCCCTTTTTAATCTATATTTTGTATAAATGTAGAGTTTACTGGATACACCCAATCCTGAAATGGCAATGGGTTAATTGAATGCGCTGGCAGGTACAGGAGCGGGTCTAAGTGTTCTTTATCATCAGGTGCACGGAAGCCTGGGAGCAAACTTGGTCAGCAGCATAGCTGCAGTGACAGGAATCTTTATTCTGGCTGCCAACCTAAAGAACAGCTTGGCTTATCACAACATTTGCCAGAAAGTTCATGGGGATGATTTCTGCTACATGGTTTTTTATTCCACTGTACGTATTTCTTGGGTCCTAATGTAAGTAAGAAAGCCTTCTTTCCTTTTTCCATGAACACAACCGCCCCCCCCCCGCCTTTTTTTGCAACCTCTATCACATAATGTGGTATTCTGTAGGCTCATGCAGAGAGATGCTGATGACCCCTCCCCACCCTGCCCCAGCTCAATTCTGCAAGATTGGAATCCTCTGCCCGAGTAACCATCTCCTGGTTTTCCGTGCATGTGTCACTTTATAGAGACTGACCATGTAGGGGTGGGTGATATAAGGGAAAGCATCCTGGGGACACCTACCTTGTGACTCTACTTGTCTTTTGGTTGTTGTTCAACAGGGAATTGTGGCAATGATAATGTTTCTCACCATTCTGGCATTTGGTGTTGCTGTGTTGCACGTAGTCTACAGAGTTGGAGACTTTTTCAAAGAAGAAAAGGTAAGCAGAGGCCTGATACTAAATCCTGAATGACAGGCTAAAGCATTTGAGTTGACTTGCTTGAACACATGGCCTAGATTTCCTGGAATATTTCTTCCATAAAAATATTTCTCCAAGATTCAGTGTTTTGGTGTCCAAATATCGTGTTTTAAAGCACATTTCCCACTCATAAGTAGCACAAATATCAGTATATCTCTGTGATCGAGGAATAGGACAATAGAACCTTCATCCTTTTAGAAAATGCAAATGCTTTGAAATGGGTTGGACATGAGATGAATGAGCAGGTAGCGTGTGATGGAGCCACACAGGTACCTGGGCTTATTTTCTATCCCAGAACAGCTTTCACCTTCTTGGCTTTCACCTTCGCACTTGCTCTGAAGCCCCAGGTTTTTTTCCTTTTGGATTCACAGCTGCCATCTACATTTCCACTTGCCTTAACCATCCATTGCACCTTTAATATATAAATAAGAATTGCCTATCCTTGATGCACATACACTTACTCAGATCCTCTAGATGAAACACATGCTATCTGTCCACTTGCCTGAAGCATTCAAGTGTGGGTACCTTTTTTGATCACTTTCCTTCAAAGACAAACAAGACTTCAGATATGCCAAAGTTCAGACACGCTCACCAACTTGTCATTGACCGCCATAATTCATTTGGGCTCCAGGCCAGCAGATCTGGCCTGGTTTGTTGTAGGTGGAGGGAATAATTAGAGTGTAATGGGAGAGAATGTGAGATTCAGAGACAAAAGGAGATGATCTATGTCTCTTGAACAAGTCTTGAACTAGTGGTGGAAAATCCTTGGTGATTGATATTGAATAATTTCTCCGACACCAGGTTCCAGAAGAACGTCTTTATGAAGAATTAAATGTAGATTTACCGATTTACAGTGATTTGGAAGAGAGAGAGGAGACATCTCCCACCGATTCATAAGAATCACGTTCAGAACATTCTCAGTTGTAACAAAGGATATGGAAAGCCAAGACCTTTGTTGAAGAGGCTACTGGCAAAATTTCAGTTCTCTCTATGATCTGCCAATTTTACATTGTGATTTATTCTCTAGATGGTAATATTCTGTTTCTGTTGTTTCTGTACATCTAAGTACTCTTCTGCTCAATTTGTAGATATATGATAGACTCTCATTTTTCATGTTTTCTATTGCTATTTTACACCCATCTCTCCTGGGAAATCAGCATGCAATTAGCATTTACTCTGTGCCCATACTGTGCAAATAGGACAAAAAAGAGGAAGGCTGGTTGCGAGTTGAGTTAAACTTTAACAGTTTGACATTTTGTTTTCAACCCTTTTGAGCATTCCCAAAAGCGATGGGCATGATACATGTGTCCCAGTAGATTGTAAGCACCATTCATCAAACATATGCTGAGAACTAATTAAGTGTTTGAAGTTTTTCACACCTGTTTCTTTCACATTGTGTATCCCAGCATTTCACGCATGTGAGTGCTTAGTCTATTTATGGAGTGGATGGGTATAGATTCAGGAAGGATATCCTACCACGCCAGGCCAGAGACAGAGTAGACATGAAGAAAGAAATGATTCTGAAGTGAATTTGGAGGTGTTAAGGAGACCAAATTGGCAGATTTAAGAATAGAGGCAGGAAGATAGCCAGAGAGAGATTTGAATAGAGATTCTGCAAGCAAGTGTGAAATATTTTGGTGGATTCATACCAGGGTAGCAACGAATGCTTCCTGCTTATATTTGATCCTATTCTATGGAGAAAACAACATAGTATGTTAGAAGAGTTATTAATCTTATAAAATGTAGGGAGTTTATATTGGAATCCTAGGCCTATTGCTTATTAGTTGAGTGAGTTGTGGCAAATAATTTAGCCATTTATTTAACACGGGTTTCCTCATCTGCAAAATTAAATATTAGGAATAATTTACCTGCCAACACTAAAAGTCTTTTGTGGAGATACACACGTGCATATATGTGCTATCAGTTAAATGTGCCCTGTAAGAGATTATATAAATTAATTTATATATACACATAAGCAATCTCCAAATTGTAGTAATCTCCAATTATATAAAATTTAAGCCCATTTTATCTTAACTTCAAAAGCCTTACTCTCTGATCCCACCTCGATTTTTTTTCTTTAATATGCTTTGTGCTTGACCACCTCATATCAGCACCCTGGCTTGCAATGCTCTGCCCTCTCTTCTGTGGCTGCTTGAATTTCTTCTTTCTTTAATGTCTGTCTTAAACACCACCTCATTCTTTAAGACATTCTGGCCAACATCGCTCCTCTCTCCAGATGACTACTCTTTCAAGCCGGATATTTACACACACATCATGCACACCATATATAACTTTCTCGATGCAAGTATTCTACACTCCATCAATGATAATACATTTTCCCTCAAAGACTCAAAGTCTCATAGAGATCTGTACGTTGCCTGAATCATTGGCACATTCACTGACACAATATTCAATAATATTTGCAGATTGATGAGTGGGAAGTAAGGAGTTTAAAAAAGTTACTCAGTACCTGGTGAAATAAAAACCACAATAAGAAAGAACATTTAAGGAGGAGTTTGAAATGAAAGTGGAATAAATGAATGAAAACCTTAGCTAAAATGAAGTCAGTGGGTATGGGGATAAATGGTCATATCTAAAACACAGAAAGACTAATTGTTTTCCCTATTAACAAGTTGAATAAAAGGATAAATTTAGGCAAGCAATTGGTTAGGTAACACATTAAGTATTTGAGTCAAAGATCAAAGGAGAACACCTGGGACCATTGAAAGAAATGATAGGGAGTCGGAAATATGAATTAATGGAGAGGAGTATAGCCAGACCTAAATGAAGCTTGGTTTCAGATGGTCATTTTTAAGAGACCAAAAGCAATGCAACTGGAGAGAGGGTCTGGCAGCGTTTATGACAGCACGATAGTAAAGTTGAAATGTGATGATGGAGATTCATGTTGTTATAGGAGAGCTCATTATTCAGGGAAGCAGATTAACACTCTACGAGAATTATTTCGAGATAAAAGAGAAGCCAAGTTAAACTTCACGTGCCTATAACCAGAGGGAAAGTGAGAGGAAAAATAATCTAGGGTGGAAGATAGAAGTATTATTCAGAAAAGTGCATTGTGAAACAGTAGACAGCAGGTGCCCGAAATGGAGAGAGATTAGATAAGGAAGAGAAAAGGCAGCCATCACAGGCAGCACCCGCTGACTTGGGCAGGTCTACAGTGATAAATCAGCTCTAGGTAAAGCATGGAGATGGGGCAGAGAAAATACCAGTGGTGGGTAAGCACAAAGGGGCAGAGAAATTTGAAACAGTATGGTGGATGAGGAAATGAATATTTACAGAGACGTTTAGAGAGAGAGAAAGAGAGAGAGAGAGAATGGGGCTATATGTGGTGTGAGAAATAAGAGTAGAGTGTGAATACAAAGTAGTAAAAAAAAGATAAGCAAAATAATTTTGTTGTTGTTGATGTTTTTATTATTAAGAGAAGGAAAAGGAATTTAAATCTTTAGCCTAATGAGAAGCATCCTGCAGAGGCACTGAAAAATCATTTTAGGGTATTATTCACAATCCATTAATAAAATAATTAATTACAGTTTATGTATTTAGGATACCAAAATTAAAGAGAGGCAATTAAATGTTAATTTCCCAGACTATGAAAGTGATCACATAGCCAGATAAGCAGTGAAGTGACTTGGTGTGCCTATCTAACCCTAGGACCTCAGGATTTTATTTTCATTTTTCTGAGATAAAGTTTTGTTTCTTAAAATTTCACAGCAGAATGCAAATATACCCTTTCACTGTGTAGCTTGCTATGCCGCGGCTCCATTCTTGATCACCCATAGGTATTTATCATATCACACCCATGTCATATGTATTCATACCCGAACAATAAGCCTGGTCTACCAGGAACTCTTAAAACAGATCCACTCTATTATTACAATTGTATAACATTTTATACCACTCTTTCTCCCACTCAACTCATTTTTTAACCACATTGTTGACTATGTTTTCTATGTACACAATACAATTTTTGTCTCAAGACCATTCTGATAGTTGTCCTGCCCCCGCCTGTCTTTTATCACATGTCCAACCTCAGGTGTCCACTGAGCAAATAACTGCCTTGTTCTCTACCCATTCATTGGTCCCAGTTTTCTTTTGGAAAATTTCAACTTAAAGACAATCTTCTCCATGGAAATTGCCTAATGCACACCTGTTCATCCGGCCTTGATTTCTTGCTTCCTGGTGGCCTTACCCCGCAAGCAGTGCATTATCATTTATTATTAGTGTATTGTGATCTCCTTGACGTCTCAATTACTAGTATTTATGCGATGAATTGTAACCATTTAACTGGATTTCTCGCCTTCTCTGTGTATATATAAGGGTGAGGGGTTAATCAAGAATACTAGAAGTGGAGCATCAATTCAATGATGCTGAGGACCATGAACAGTTTCTAGAGTCCTTTTTTTTTTTTTTTAAATCAATCCTTTATCAAATGGGACAATCTATTAATAACCCCGCAGACAGAAAACAGTTGTAAGAACAATCGTCAGCCATCTCTTGTCAACAAATGGTGGGGTGAAGTTGACAGGATACTGCACTGTGAGTCCCATTTTACAAGTTGGTCCTAATTTATTTGTGAACTTCGGACAGTCTGTTCCCTTTGTGAACCTCAGGCTTTCCATCTGAAAATGAGCGGTTTGAAACAAAAGATTCCCACCCAATTTTTTTGTTTCCCTGTCCTGAGCTTATGAGAATCACTATGATGAAGTTTGTGGTTGAGGTGGCAATAGCAATCAGAGCTCTTTGTTGTACTGTTTAGCAAGACATCTGAGATGATAACGTTTGTTCTGAACTTTCCTGACAAAAGCCAATTAAAGGATTCTTTTTGATAATTATCTTAGAAGTAAAATTTCCCAAATTGTTCCTATTGTATAAAGTATAGCTCTACCTACAAAATAGGGTACTATATCTATAATTTCATCTTGAGTTAGAGTGTTGACGTATATTTACATGTACAAGAGTGTGAGAGTCTTTGGGAGCTGCCACCTGTGTTTCCTGAGTATTTCCCTCCACTGGACAAACACTGCTCCCTCCACAAAGAGTCGGGCTCATAAACAGCTTCTGTCTGCGAACTGCATAGGGCTTTATTGAACAACACTGAGGAGAAGGGATGGTGTAGAATGTAGGCTTTGGAATATAATATATCCACAAGCCAATTGTAGTAGCTATATTACATTCCAGCTCTATGATCTTCGATAACATTTTAAATTGTATTTTCCTTATCTTTTAAATGAATATATTTAATATAACTACTTCAACTACATGAATATGTTCAAAGATCATGTAGCCAAGTGCCTAGATGGTGTATGGAACATATTTTTGCATTCATAGTCAATGCAATAAACATTGATACATAGTCCTACACCTGAAATTAGGAAAGAGGCATCATTCCAACTTCTCAAAAATGTATTACAAAATTCACCTATGCCTTGTTATTTCTGGTTGGAGAAAGTTGGTGTGGGACCCTGGAAGAGATCAGGAAAGGGCATTCTTAGTCGTTTTCATATAGAATATTACCAGATACATGAAAATGCAAGAAATATATATTGCAAGGTGATACTGTCTTAGTTCTAAAAAGGCAGAGAAGGAGAGGGAGACCGGCTGTAAGAAAATGCTATCAGGTGAACCTGGAGAAACCTCTAAAAGCCTACCTTCTCTTCGGCAATGAGAAATATTATAACACACAGAACCAGCCAATTAGGAAAACGCACGAATAAAAGTCTCTCTGTGCGGGTTATGGCATTCAGCATCACATACCAGGGGCCCAGGAGACGTCCCTAGGACCTTCGCAGAGGATCAAGGGCAGACTGGCCTCGTCCATGCGGGCTGCGCACTCAGTGGGAGTTTGTCCGTGTCCACGCAACCCGGAGAGCACAGACGTG